AGGGGCAGGGGAAATCCATGCTGTGTATTTACAAAAATACAAAGATACAAAAGTACAAAAATAAAAAAGTAAAAAAAAAATACAAAATTAGCCAAAACGGATGAAACCGTTCACATAACAGTGTTTCTTCACCTCTTTACGGTGGCCCACTCAGACATATGCTAGTCGTCGTAGGGACCATAATTGAAATTTCCGGTAATGGTATTACAGAAGTTTGTCAAATTTCCTGAACTGTTCAGGTGATTCATGCCCTTCATGTGGTTCATCTGGTTCATTTGGTTCATTTGGTTCATCTGGTTGACGTGGCTCATGTGACTCAAATGGCTCATTTGGCTCATCTGCCGCATGTGATTGAGGTGGTTCATTTGGTTCGCGTGGCTCATCTGGTTCAGCTGGCCCAGGTGGGCCGCGTGGTTGTGATGGTCTAGGTGAGCCGCGTGGTTCTGGTTGTCTAGGTGAACCGCATTATTGGGGTAATTGGGGTGGCGCACTTGGTTCACGTAGTTCAAGTGGTTTAGGTGGTTCGTGTGGTTGGTTGGGCCCACATGGCTAGATTGGCTCATCTGACCCATCTGACCCATCTGACCCATCTGACCCATCTGACCCATCTGACCCATCTGACCGATCTGACTCATCTGACCGATCTGACTCATCTGACCGATCTGACCCATTTGGCCTGCATGGCCCATTTGTCCCACATGCCCCATGTGGCTCACGCTGTGCACATCGCCCACTCCTCCGATGTGAATCTCTTCCATGTGTGCCTGGTCTTGCAATGGCACCATGTCGCCCAGGTTGCCCTCATTCGTCACGCTCGTCCCGTTTGGCACATTTTCCTCGTTCTCCGTACCGTCTAAATTGTTCACGTTGTTCAAGCAAGCCATGTTGGCGAAATCGCTCAGGTTGGACAAGTCAGTGAGGTTAGAGAAATCGGTGACGTTGGCCAAATTGGTGACGTTGGCCAAATTGGTGAGGTTGGGCAAGTCGGGCATGTCAACCAAGTCACTCATGTTAACCAAATTGGGAAAATCAGTCAGGTTATTCAAATTGGGTATATTGGATTGGTTCGCCATGTTAGACATATTTGCGTCGTTCATGTCGGCGTAGTTTTCTCCTGCACCTTGCAGATCCTCCCCGTGGTTTGCGTGATTCAGTGCCATCAGGTTGGTCCTGTGAGACGCGCTGCTCACATTAGTCATGTTGTTCAGCGTGTTATGGTGGTTCTGGTGTTTCAGGTGATTCTGGTGTTTCAGGTGATTCTGGGGGTTAAGGTGGTTCAGGTGGTTCTGATGGTTCAGGTGGTTCTGATGGTTCAGGTGGTT